AATTAGTTTGGATGATAAATGATAAAAAGATGATAATTCGACACAAAAAGAGAAATTAAAGGAGTGGGAGCTCGTCTATTCTCATGCGTGGCACGAAGCCGGACGCGAAAAAGGAGAAAAATTTAAGGCACAAAATAGTGAAGCGAAGCAAAGGAACGGAGCACTTCTCAAAATAGAAAAATTTCAAAAGCTAGATCCGCGTCTAGACGCGAAGGCAGACACGGATTCCAGCTTTCCCTAGCCGAAGTGGGATTGGAGAATTTCACCCTTTAGCAACCCTAAGTGATATAAATACATCAAAAAATGACTTTTGAAGGGGGACACAATATTTTAAGAAGGGGAGACACTGCTTTAGGGTTAGACAACACCCTTGGAGGCAAGAACAAGCTAGGAGCAAGGAGGAAGATTAAACTACGAGTTTTTCCCCTTCTTCTTCCAATTTTATTGTTGGTTATGAATTTGAGTATTGTGTTTTCATATACTTTTATGAATAGCTAATTTGTTATCTAGAGTTTTGATAGAACCTTTTGTAGGATGAATTTTTGTTATGTTTTAATATAATTTAGCCTTTAAATTTATCTATTTGTTCAATTATGTATTTGTTGATGTTGATTGAATGGACATCAATTGACTGTGCCTATTTAGTGTGTACTGCTTGAGAGAGAGTACATATTTAGGTAGTTGTTGAATAACATCACTCCTAACGTATGTGAGAGATCAATATGGAGGGTTTAAAAGTGGGATTAGAGATAACGAAATCTTGGTGCGATCGTAGTGAGCGGTGAATTAGTGCAAGCTAGTGTAGTTCAAGAGAATACATCTAGTAAATTGTGGTAGTTGCTCGAGAGAGAATTACGACAACCAAGTACTCACGATCAGTAGAGAATACTTAGGCGAAATTATAGAAGACACAAGGGGAAGGATTTCGACAATTGTGAAAATCATAACTCTAGACCTCATTAATCTTGTTTCCAATCTTTATCCCTGTTAATTGATAGTTTTACTGTTTTTTTAGATTTTTACTTAAATAGATAGAAATAAATATTATAATTTTTATCATTAGAAAATTGTTTGGACTTGTATTTCTTAGCGATATTGAACAACTGTAGCTAAGCCTTAGTTCTCTGTGGGATTCGACTCCGGAGTTTTAGACCGGATTATATTTGCAGTGATCGCTTATCCTTTTTAGGACTAGAGTTGGGCATGATCAAATTTTGGTGCCGTTGCCGAGGAACTAACATTGTAATTGTAGCTATACATATTGCTAGGTTACAAGTTTGAACTTTTATTTTTGTTTTGTTGTATTTTATTTTTTGTTTTACTTGTTAATTTGAGAAACATGGCATCCTGGAATTATGAAAATTTTGATGTTGGTAATTCTACTGTTGATCTTCCTTGTGTGAATCGTGGCGGAAACCACCTGGGTCAAAATAGTCTAAATATTCCCGAGAGCGAGTTATGTGCACTAACACAATCTTATGTGTGGAATGTATGTGATATGTGTGGTGGTCGAGATGGTCACTTTCATGGTTGTGCTTATATTTCTTATCTTTTCCCAACCCCTTACTTTGATGGTTCTACTTTTTTTTTTGTGAAGTTAATAGGAACAAAGAACCGGAGATGATAACCTGAAAGAGATCAAGGATATGCTAAAGTACCTTGTGGAACAAAATGATAAAAGACAGATGCAGATAGAAAGGCAAGATGCTACTATTCGCAACCCGAAAGCACAAATGAGTCAACTAGTTGAAGCATTTAAAGCTTCACAAGCCAATATTGGGGATAGTAGTCAAGAAGAGCATGAATTAGACACTGAAATTGAGGTGCTAATGGAGGAGGTTAGAGTAGAACACCAACAATCTATCCAACTAGAATTTGAGGATGCTGATGTCTAAGAAGTAACACTAAAGTTAGCTAAAGACATTGAAAATACAAATTTAGTTGACTCTAGTGTGATTGGTGTTGAGGAGGTCAAAATCATCAAGTTCATGTATTTGAGCTCGTTGGACCTCATTCCAAACACTTCTCTACATTATGTTCGGATGGTAAAAAGGGAATGGATCCTTACGAGCATAAAAAGGAGTCCAAGGAAGAGGTAGATGAGCCTTATATTTTTAAATTCTCAAGTCCGTTTAGGCAAGGTGACACTCCTCGGTCGAGAGCCAAAAAGTGACAATGATGATTGGGTAGCTGTTTTGAAAGTTAAACCTCGGGATGTTATTGAACTTCCTGATGAGGAAATAACATCAACTCCAGAACCGAATCTTCCATTCTAAGTTGAAGAAGTTGAAGTCCATTTGATAGATATGAATTTCACCACTGATGAGAATATAATCTTACATGATCCAAATGGGGATGTAATTGAAATGGTTGAACCCATTGATGATGGACTATTGATAGAGCATCAAAGGTTCGAAGAAGAATCTTCAGAAGACGAGTATGAAAATGAGGATGAAAATGAGAAGGATGATGAGGAAGAGTTTGAAGAAGAACTAGGGTGTTGATAAAAATGCACTACTATATTTTTATTGAGTTTTGTTTTTCTAGTAATCTGTGTGGTATGTTATAAGTCAAGTATCTATTTTGTAGTATAATCTATAGAGAATCAAATCAAATACCACGTTTGTAGTAATATAAATGGTATAGTACTCTTCTAGCTTACATTGTGTTGTGCCTCTTTTTACATTAGTCTGACTCTTTTTTTGTAGTCGTAGAATAATGTTTATTATCAACATAATAGTGTTACCTGATTAATCTATCTAAATTCAGAATTAATTGGAGCCAAGATTGTTGTATTTTGGTCTAAAGAAGTTATCAAATTGAACAATTCAGTGAGTAGTTCAAGCATTGGATAGTGCAGGTATTTTTTATATTGTGTTATGTCTCTTTGTATCAATTTAATAATGTCTTTCTAATATTGTCTTTAGCAGAACATTTTATTTTGAAGCTTCATATACCATATGTTATTACCTTATAAAATTATTTCAGAAGGCATTCTACTAGGATTCTTCAATTGATAGTGCAGTGTGGATCCAATGGGAGCGTAAGACAACAAAAAGATAAACTGATTTTGTTAGAAAATAAAATCAAATAGGGTGCAACGGGACTCTATTCCAAATGATGTGTGGGAAAGTTGGTTGAGACTTTGAAAAGATCCTAAGTGTGTTGAAAAGTGAGAAATAAATGTAAAAAATCGTTGTGTTGGGAGCGGAGTTGGAACTGGGACTCACACAGGTGGCTCTATCAATGTTGGGGAGCATCGCAAGAGACTTGCAAGATATTTCTCAGAAATATCTGATTCAGTTGTTACACTGTTTTGAATGTCCAAGCTTATTCTTTGTTAATAGTTGTTGTGAAATTGATTGAAGTTAACTGATTTGAGTTTGAATATTGACCTTGTAAAGTGAGTGTGTAAAAATGGGAAAGTGAGGGCTTTCTTTTTTGGGGAAACGCAGAGTTCGCTAAAATGGTTTGTCCACCTCTTGAAATTAGATGCAGCAATATCCTTGCTTAACACGAGTAACATACCACGTAACAGATGAATCCTTAAAGCAGACCTCACAGGCGAATGTCAAGCAGACAATGAGCTTTGCATTTGACTAGCTCGTCAAATTCATAACATGTTATATTTTGGGAAAAAAGACCAGGAGGAAGATTGTATTCTCGTAGGAGATCTGGCAATGATTTTGTAGGTTTGCATCAGATTATTTAGCATGCTAGATGTTGCACAGAATATGAACTGAAAATGTGCATGAACTAATGGGTCACCATAACAACTAACTGTATTACCCTTTTTACAAATCCTTTAATATCACTATTGTATGGGAATGTGATTTATGCCACTCCAAAATCTGTACTTTTGGTTAGTTGTAGATTATGTTTTTAATCTGAATCCTTTGGTTTTTAAGGAAATCTCTAGTCGTTCATTTTTCAGATTCTTCCCTAATCAAGGATATCTTTAGTCTCTGTCATGTTGTTTAGAGTTAATCATTATCTTTTGTATGCTATTGCTGGCAACCTATGTAAGATATTTGGGTATGTATTTAGTCTGTAAAATATTATACAAGTATGGTGATATGTGAGTCCAGTTAGTAATACTTAAAGTAAGAGATTAAGTAATAAAATGTGAAGCTTCTGTTGTTCCACCAGATTGAGAATTGAACTGAATTACATTCCTAGGCTATTCTGGAGACTCTCCTTTTGTTGTACTCTTTTTTCATTGACTTAGCTTGTTTGGTTTAATTTTCCTTCTATAAAGCAGTAAAATGGAACTTCAGGACATGGTTTGTTGTACTCTTTTGTTGTCCTTTTGTTTTTTTACTGAACTTCTTTGATGAAGCAAACCACACGGGAGTTGTTTGGTTCCAAGGAGAATTCCATGTTCCATCAGTTATGCTTTTTAGCAAGAATGAATCAGTTTCTATCCAAAGTCTATTAAAACTAAGTTGAGAACAATAACGTAATGCCTCCAATTATGCCAGTGTTTCTGCCGCTATGTTCCTTGCCAATCTTCTTAATTGAATAACTTTTGTATAGGCTGTTAAAAAGGGTCGAGATCCAACACCAAGTGAGTTGCATTTGCACGTCCATACACATGGTAATGATGGAAAATCTTTTGTTGCTGAGAAATCCCGAATGGTACATGTAAGATAACTTTTTAAATAATTTTATTGGCTTTATTTTCATATATTTTTTCATTTTGTAAATCGAATGCTCAATATTATTTAGTCTTTCTATTTCACTAATTATTAACTCTTCTACAGGAAAAATATCAGGAGATATTACAACAACAAACACATACTCAATCTGATATTGATCAGTATAAAGCATATTATCAAGCCGCGGGAGGAGAAAAGAAAAGAAAAGTATATGATCTTGGATCTTAAGCAAAATGCTACTACGGGCCAAATCTTCATGACTCTTTTGGATCTGATGCTACATCGTCAGCAACACCTCCAAATGTTCAATCAACACCGACAAGGAATCTGGATGAGTTAGTGATGCGATTTATTCCTGCACTGACAAATTATATAGTTCCTGTAATCGTTGAGCGAGTACGTGAATTAGTTTCCTTACAATGGCATCAGCCAAATACTGATCGTACCAACCACCCATTAGAAGTGGCACCTACAGTCCCTACATCTTCTACTACTGCTAACATTGATGAGGTTCATGCATTGGGTTCTGATGATGACTGTAACTCTCTAGCCTTTTAGCCTACTTTGTTTGGACTTTATTGTTGGTCCTTGTGGATTTTTTGTACTTAACGATTCTGTTATATGCATTATGCTATATATTTTGGACCTTGTTAAATATATTGTTAATTTATATTAATATCAGTGACTTTTTATTAAGTGTATTTAATAAGTTTTATGTAATATGCTAGAACAGGGTACATTTAAAATAATAAATAAAAAGAATTTTAAAAAATTAGCAATATATTAAAAAAAATTAGTGACGGATACTTTACGTAGCTAAAATTATCGCGTAAAATTAAATCTTGCGACGAATTGGCGACAAAAAGTTTTGTTGCAAAAAGCAAGAAGAATTAGCTATAACACGACTAGCGACAGAAGATTTCGTCGCTATTAAGAACAAACGACGAATTTGTTATACATTGTAGCGACAAAACTCGTCAAAATAGCGACAAAAACAACCAATATAGCGACAGTTATTTTCATCGCTAAATTTTGCTATAGATATATTCCGTCGCTCGTCCATCGCTAACTCTGCGACGGTTTGATATTTTTTTGTCACTATGAGCCTAGCTACGAGCATTTTAGAGACCAACTTGAATCCGTCGCTAAACGACTGTAGCGACGGAAAATAGTAGTTTAGCAACGGAATACGGCCATCGCTAAACACTTTTTTTTTGTAGTGCATACCTACAAAATACCTAAATGTCAATCAGAAGCATGCCAAGTGCGTAATACCATTCTTGGGAAGACAGATAGCGCCATACGCTACAAAACTCAAGCACGACTAAGGTGCAATAAATGACCTGCATCTTGAGAGCCATCCTACTCATATAACACTGCAAGCTACACGAGACCACAACACACGTACGGACAATCAAGCCATATCACAACCTACATGGCACAATAAAGTATTACATGGAATAGTTGACGACATAAATAACATCCCAGGTCTGAAGACTCCTCCGTAAACAACGCTATGCTGAAATGAACACATCTGACATGGTATAGAGCTCATATTCACATTTAGATCCATTCAAGGACCTCAAGCCGATTCTGATCGCACCGTACTAGGCTTATAACCTCTCAAGGATCCACAATAACCCTTTTTTCCATGACACACAATAATAGCCGTCAAATCCGGAACAAACATCCATAGTTCACAACCAAATGAATAGAGTGCTTTCCCGGCGTAAACTCTCACATTAGCAATAGTACCATAATCTCCATACTTGGTTTCAATCTTCAATTAATCAAGTGACTATATGTCACACTTATACGATCTTCCCATGGGATACGCTCCCACGACCTTCCTCACCAGGTAACAAGTCTGCATATCCATACCACCGGCCATACTAACATTGTGCAGCAAATCGGAAATCTTCAAATCAGTACACCAAGCCTCTTACACAGGACAACGATCTTAGGTGACGCTAAAGACAATACCAGCTTACTCTAAACATCTAAATTCTTCCCTGCTCATCCGAGATTTTGACATTCTTATCGACACCGAACTGCAACCTTGATCCTCAACTTCCAATTCCTATGCCGCTCACTACACCTAACATACCACTACGCGAGAGTACCAGAATTTCATCACAACTCCTGGGCCACTAATAGCATAAACACTTCGTCACCTAAAAACCTTCCACTTAGCTCATTTATGGAAAGCCATTGTAACACGTTACTGAATTCCCATAACCGCAGAAAAAACAAATCCTCAAGTAGTGGTCTAAACCACCATAACTCTTCTGGGATCCATCTGCACACAACCGGCCATAATACTCAAATGCCTCCAAATAAAATCAATTACGGCAGCTATCAACCCTCACATGTACTGCCACAAATCACATGTATAACTTAACACGCTGAAGGAACTGATCATTTCCACCATCATGCCATTTCAACCATCGCTAACCGATCTGACTTCTTCTAATTTACTATGGACTTGCCTTAAGAATAATAATAGATCCATTCAGGATATAATGAACCCAACCCGCACTCATCCTGGGTGACCTTATTTCACGAGGCCAGGTTGTCTCAAAACCCACGAACCATCTCATATCCTCCTCGTGCGCATATTCGCATCTTCAACTGGTACACCCATTCTGATAATTCCTCTATGAATCTGAAGTTATTTTCTCCCATTCCTCCAATGCTACACCACATACCGAAGATAACATAAAACACTCTGATTCTCTTTCATAATCTGCTGCAAGGCTCGATAATTAACCATACCACGGACCCGAAATCCTTCGGCATCACACTTTAAATTTTTGAATCCACTAGGACCGTTGTTGAGAGTCACCCACTCTGACTTGGTCCCGAATATAATCAACTCCAAGGCTCTGCTAGCACATGAACAACCTATCAAAGAAGCACCCGATGGAATCACTTTCCTTGTAAATCACATCTACACGAAGCATAAATCCTGAGTCTCCCCAAAGCCTGAACATGAATCGATAAGGCTAATTATAGCACACATTCCTCAAATCTCTTGCTCAAATTACCACTGATGTTCTCTTTCCTTAGTCGTAATAACCCACCAATATGCCGATAATCAGAAACCTCACAAGTAGACAACCATGGAATCCAATCGTAGGTGGTGGGGCTCGCCCACTTAGCTTGAAGTTACCATTACATAACCCTGGAACCTACCAAGATTCCTTATCCCCCATTAACATGGTCTTGCGCAATCAACTCGCCAAATTCCTCGAAATCCTTCTATTATCATTTCATGAACACTCTGAATCACTAGCCACGTTTACATATTCGACCTCTTACTGGATAGCTGGTAAAATTCTCTGTAGAAGCTTCATCAACACCATGCAACTGCTAACTTGCTCACAGGAGATAACCCACCTGTGGAAATTCCATGCTGACATCTTCCAACGATGCTGCTCTGGGTACAATTACTACAAAATCAATAAACCATCCTAAGCCTGTGCTCCTTCACCAATTGTACAAGTACGTTCACTCCTCATTGACATCACTAAAATTACGACAATACATCCCAACCCGAAGTCATGTGGCATTCTTCTTCATGTCCAGCAAACTCCTTTCTGTCGCATCCAATCTTCCCCCAGTATAGTAGCCAACATTCCAAATTAAGTCTGTAGACCTAGTCATTGTCCATTACGATTCCTAATTTTCCCTAAACTTCCCTCCAGGCGTGTGGCTATCCTACCACAAAACCCCCATGTTACTCCGCCGCTCTCCCACTTTGGTTTAACCCTCTCCTTTAAGCAACTTCCCAACTTCTGCCCTTCATACATAACCTACTAGTAACTCAACCACCGCGAGACTCCCTTCCGCCATGTCCTTCTTCATCTTTCACTTCCTAGTTGTTGCCTTAAATCAATATTCGTCTCTGTAGCACTTGAACTAATAGATCGTTACTAACTTTTAGCCACTCTGAAGATCATCTTTCTCGAGTCATCAACACTAGAAACACTTATTCGATCCTGAACCTCTACACACCGCGATCTCTGATAGCCCGTTCCCCGATACCATTCCACAATACCATGCCCTAAAGGCGAATTGAAGAAGACCATAACACTAGCGAACTTAATGCCTTCAAACAAAGACAATGACACCATAGTGCCAATGAGAATTCCACCACGCTCGAAAATACCAAGTCTTGTTACTCCATCAACCCAAACCTGAACATTCACTGTCTGGCTGTCATTCCTTCTCCAGAACTAAATGCTGAACCTCTAAGCCGTGAACTGAGAAATCCTCCTTTCAAGTCATACCTGTTGCGATCCATAAATAAGAACCCTACCATTACATCAATACCGTGAGATAACAACTCATGAATCATCATAACAACCAGTGCCCAACTTTAAAACCATAGGAATTACTAATACTGATCTGAAATGACAGAACAGCCTTACGCAAGGCGACGACAATAGCCCAAGCAATTACGCAGGGAGAAACATCCTGCACCACATCTGTAGTACCATCAAAATTCCTCGATTCCTAATTGATAACAAACGCTCACGTCGCATAAGATTGAATAGGAAAGAAATAAAGGAACAAGCCTCAAAGGAATCAAATTGCACGATGAGGGATCAAAAAGGGAAGTGCTCCTAATAGCCATGTAGCGTCTCGAAGATACGAACAGACGTCTCCATACCAACCCGCAAGACTCTACTAGACTTGCTCATGATTTGTGAGGCCTAAGTGAACCTAGTGCTAGGATACCATGTTGTCACGATCCAAAATCCATTAATGGTCGTGATGACGCCTAACACCGCTGTCACGTAAGCCAACAATAATTAATTAACTTAATTACTTATTTTTGTATTTTGAAATCACAATTTCCTTCAATTAAATAGTAAAAGATAGAACTTACAAAGTAAATGATAATATTTTCGCAACTAAAATACTGAACAACCCATAATCACTCCCAAAACCCGGTGTCACAAGTGCATGAGCATCAACTAGGGAGTAAAATAAAATACAGCATATGTCTGGAATACAAATTAGACAGGAAATATAAATAACTCTAAAGGAGACTCTACTGGTTGTGGATCATAATATGGAATACAGCTCACCTAAATCCCCGCATTAATCACACATCTGTGCCCACAAGGCCACTAGACATATATGTGCCTGCACAAAAATATGTAGCAAGTATAGTATGAGTACGTAAATCAACGCGTACCCAGTAAGTATCCAATCTAACCTCAAAAAAGTAGAGATGAGGGGTCGACTATGACACTTACTATGGGCCTATAATAAAATACCGATATTATAATTAAGCATGGATTGTATAAAATAATTGAAAACTCAATAACAAGAAGTAAGTAAACAATTCTTATTAATACGAAATTTTTAAATTTATTTTCGTCATTTAACAATTTATATCTCAAGCCAATGAAGCAATATCAATTATTATTAGTTCCAAAGATTTATCATGCGCAAATCATGCTGAGGTCGTATGGCCTGATCTAACATATAAATATAAATTGTGCACTACCGAAGGCCGAACGACACGAACCATAGATGCATCTATCTGCTACCTAGGCGTTCGGCCCGCTCCATAAGAAGAGAAAATACATTAAAACAACCAATTCAAGATTCATTAAGGGTTAATGTTCAAAGTAATATCAATTTCCATTAACGGTCAAGTGACCCATCCAAAACTCAAGTAGATGAGGTTTAACCTTTTACAATTTCTTTATCAAGTTCCAATATGTTTTAAGCAGTTAAACTAACAAGTAGATTGCAAACATCGCAAGTATAATATGATTTGAGTCCTAGACTACTCGGACATAAGCATAATTAGTAGCTACGTATAGACTCTCATCACCTTGTGTGTACGTAGCTCCTACAATTAAGAGCACACATGAATCCAATTTACCTATGGGATGAATTCCCTCTTACAAGGTTAGAAAAGAAACTTACCAAGCCTTTAACTTGGTGTGTTCTCAAGGTTGATATAAGAAAGGCTTATGACTCATTGGATTGGCAATTTTTTGGATACATGCTCACTGACCTTGGCTTTCCACAAAAATTCATCCATTGGGTAATGGAATGTGTGTTAACAGTGTCCTACTCTTTAGTACTCAATGGTGGCCTTACCAAGCATTTTCAAGCCAAGAGAGGGATTAGGCAAGGGGATCCAATGTCTCTTTATCTATTTGTTATTGCAATGGAGTACTTACAAAGAGAGATGAGCTAATTGTCCACCTTAAAGGAGTTCAAATATCACCCAAGATGCAAAAAACTGGGGGTAACACATATTTGTTTTGCTGATGATTTGTTAATATTTTGCAGGGCAGACACAAGTTCAGTAAAAACAATGCAGGAAGCCTTTAACAGGTTTTCTGTTGCATCTGGACTGCAGGCTAATGCATACAAAAGCTCAATGTATATAGCTGGTGTTCCACAACATATCAAGGAGCTATTACTTGATCTTACAGGATTCACAGAGGAATTTATTCTCTTTAAGTACCTGGGGGTTCCATTGTCTGCTAAGAAGCTGAATATACACCAATGCCTACCACTAGTGGAAAGGATTACTGAAAGAGTAAACTACTGGTCAGCTAGGATGCTATCCTATTCTGGAAGGATACAACTTATTAAATCTGTGTTGTTTGGAATTCAAACATACTGGGCTCAAATTTTCCTATTGACTAAGAAGATCATAAAGATGATAGACACAATATGCAGGACATTTCTTTGGACTGGATCAAATGCCATTTCAAGAAAAGCATTGATAGCATGGGATAAGATCTGTCAACCAAAAGCTGCTAGGTTGAACATCATCAATATGAGGATATGGAATAAAGCGGCAATTCTGAAACACCTATGGGCTTTGACAATAAAGAAATATGTTTTATGGATCAAATGGACACAGAGTTATTACATAAAGAACAAAGACATCAGAAATGGACATACCTAAGACAGCAGCATGGGTGGTCAGGAACATAGTGGCAAAGAAAAACTTGGTGCATATGAACTCAATACAAGGCAGTCTCACATCAACACTGACAAACTTGGTGAAACAAGGCAGGTTCCAAATACAAAGAGCTTATGTCCAGCTAGTGCCTCAATTTCCCAAAGTTAGTTGGAAAAGCATTCATCTGCACACACAGATTCATCCACGATTCAAATTTCATCTATGTTTGGCTATTCATCAAAGGATAGCAACTGTGGACAGGCTACTCAAGTTTGGAATCCAAGTACCACTAGATTGTGTGTTTTGTACAGGTACTACGGAAATATTTAATCATCTTTACTTTGGCTGTCCAAACACCAGTATGTTATGGGACAAAATACTGAGATGGCTGGGAGTTACAAGGAAAATTGGAAGCTGGCAAGATGAACTAGTGTGGATCAGTAGCATAGTTAAAAGGAAGAATGGCAAAGCAAGTATGATTACAACAACATTTGCGATGGTAGTGCATTGTATATGGCGGGAAAGAAATTCCAGTAGATTTAACAAGGGTAGATACATGGTGGATGAGATATGCAAGGAGATTTCTATACACATGCACATACAAGGGAGGTCAAAGATCAAATGGCAACAAGCATTGCAAAGTCTAAACAATTATCCTTAGGAGTAGCTTGTATTTGATGATTATGTGCTTATCTAGTTAATCCTTGTAATAATAATAGCGATTAGGAGATTGATGGTCAGCATTAATCTGGTTTGTAAAGACAGTTTTTTGATGAAATGAAATGTTAGTTTTATCAACAAAAAAAAGAAAAAAAAAGAGAGATTTACCTCGCTCAGAAGTTCCATAGCCGGCTCCCAAGCCTTTCAAACAACACAAACCGATGCCCAACGCTCCAAAACTAGTTAATAAATGTGCAAATCTATAAATATATACTCTAATACTCATTATAATCCAATTTACAATAGTTTCCAACTCCTCTCGAAAAGCCGATAAATATCACCCTCGGGCCCACGTGCCCGGATTCCGAAAATTATCGAAGATAAACATTACCCATAACCTCACGAACTCAAATATATATAATTTATTCTCAATTCCAAGCCCAAATTCGTGGTCAAAAATCCAAAATATCAAATTTCTAGGTTTTCTACCAAAACCCCAAATTTTCACTAATTTTTCATGAATTTTCGCATTAAATTCCATATATAATCCAAGTATTTAACTTACAATGTACGGGAATTACTTGCCTCATAATAGATGATGAAATCTCCTCTTCAAAAGTTCCAAAATTGCCCAAGTCGTGTGAAAAATGGGTGAAATGAACCCAAACCCCGCTTTAAAACCAGTCTGCCCAGCTACTTCCTTCTTCGCGTCCGCGTCACCTTGGCCGCACTCGTGAAGCCTTGTGACCACTACCCTTCGCGTTCGCGGTCCACGAGCCATGTTCGCAAAGGCCAAACTGCTCCAGCCCCCTGCTCCCTCTTTCTTCTTCGCGTTCGCGACCCGTGTGTTGCGTTCGCGAAGGCTTGCCCAGCTCCTGCCTCGCGTTCATGTTCACTGCCACGCGTTCACGAAGTCCAAAACCCAGCAGCCTCAAAATTCGTCTTCGCGAACGCGGGACTCCTTTCGCATTCGCGAAGGACAAAACCAGAACCAGCAACGGCAGTCCTAAAATAGCTCAACTTGATCCGATACCATCCTGAAACACACCCGAGGCCCCCGGGACCCCGTCCAATCACACCAACCTGTCCCAAAACATGACACGAACTTGCTCGTGGTCTCAAATCACATCAAACAACGTCAAAACCATGAATCGCATCCCATTTCAAGCTTAATAAACTTTAGAACTTCAAACTTCTACATTCGATGCCGAAACCTATCAAATCACACCCGATTGACCTCAAATTTTGCACACAAGTCAGATTCGACGTTACGGACCTAATCCAACTTCCGGAATCGAAATCCGACCCCGATATCAAAAAGTTCACTCCCGGTCAAACTTCTCAAAAACCTTCAAATTTCTAACTTTCGCCAAATGACCCCGAAATGACCTATGGACCTCCAAATCCACATCCGGACACGCTCCCAATACCAGAATCACCATACGGAGCTAATCCCAGACTCGGAATCCCAAACGGACATTGATAACACTGAAATACATTTCAACCCAAATTTATGAAATTCTTCTGAAATGCCAACTTTCCACAATAGGCGTCGAAACGCTCCTGGGTCATCCAAAACTCGATCCGGACATACGCCCAAGTCCAAAATCATCATACGAACCTATTGGAACCTTCAAATCCCGATTCCGAGGTCATTTACTCAAAAATCAAACTTTAGTCAATTCCTCCAACTTAAAGCTTTCGAAATTAGAATTTTCTTTTCAAATCAACTTCGAACTTCTCGAAATTCAATTCTGACCACACGTATAAGTCATAATACCCGAAGTGAAGCTACTCATGGCCTCAAACCGCCGAACGATGCGCTAGAGCTCAAAACGATCGGTCGGGTCGTTATAATTTTCATAGCGAATAAGAAGGAGGAGGAGGAGGAGGAGGTGTAAAGTTATCTAAACTTTGGGTACTAGTTAAAAAAAGATTAAAAACTGAGTATAGCTTAAATGGGGCGCGACCAAATAGGATACGCCGTTTAATTTTTACCAAATATATGTGCCGAATATTTCTTGTACATCAGTCTTATCCCAAACTCCTGCTGATATTAGAAGTAAAGTAACAAACAAAAAGAATATATTGGTAAAATTGATCGTTAGAACTATACTCATATATTTTTCAAATAAAAAACAATTACTAGTACATATTAATGGGTAGCATTAATCATTTATTTATTTAAATAATTATAATCATTTTCATGGTCGAAACATGATAAAAAGACAAAACTAGAGACTATATGTTTAATTATAGGCACCCACCTTGTACAAAAAGTTAAAAAAAAAATAGAAAATAAATTAAACTAAAATGAATATAGCAACATCATAATATAAAGTATATTTAATTAAGTGACAAAACACCAGAGAAGCCAACCCATAATCTTGATGATCGAGCTAGATGTTGTGGAATCAGGAGACATGTCAAAAGAAAGGTTAAATAAAAATTTTAAAAAAAACAAAAGACATAGTTCCAATAGTTAAAGAAAGATAATGACTCCCTTAAGATATTTGCTCCTCTTTATAAGTTTAGTTTAAACTTGCAGTACAAGAGCATAGCAGCAGCAGAAGAAAGTAGCTAAAAGAGTGACAGAAGATATTTAGCTTATTTCTGGGAGCTAATACAGATATATTTATATTTGATTTGGTTTATTACTAATATGAGACATTCATCAAATTACCTCTATTCCCTTGCTATTGCCCTAGTTTTGATTTTCCATTTGTTGTTTCTTGCTCATTCTGGCCAAGTTGTCACTAATGATCTGATTGTTGATCCCTCTAGGGATTCAATGAAAGTGGTAACTCTCTCTCTCTCTCTACTGTTGAATGCACCATGAAGCAATTATGTATGTGTTCAGAGGCGGACCTGAGTGTCGCGAGTTAGTTCAATTGAACTCGTGATCATTTTCAGCATAGACTATATATATTTGTATACTGATAAAAAAATGTTTTAAAAAATCCTAAAAATAGTATAACTATTAAGTTTTGATGAACCCGTATTTTTAAAATACTCATAACTTTGAATTTATAAAATTTAAATTATAGATCTGTCTCCAAATATATTATGTATGTATGTATGTATGTATGTATGTATGTATGTATGTATAAGCTTGGTTTCTTGTTTTTGTGTGGAGTGTTTAAGAATTGGAGGATTGATGCAGGAAAAAAGTGGATGTGAGAAAGAGAGAGGTGATTGCAAACAAAGGAATGGTAATGGAGGAGGAAAAGAAAGTATGTTTGAGAATGAAGACTATATCTATACACAGTCTACTCTTCCTTAGGTGAATCTTCTCTTTTATTTTATTTTCCTCCTCTCTCTTATTGTTTTTTTCTTTTCACTTTATAACATAGATTGTGATCAATTCATCAAATGAATTGAATAGGATATTGCAACTTTTGATTATTAATAATATTGTTTTATCTTTTTGTGATTCGTTTGTTATTGAGCATTCACAACAATTACAATAAATTGTTGTTCAATAAAAATTCTACTTTCACACATGACTAATTAGAGATTAGCATGTACAACTTAGTTATTATGCATATTGCCTCGACAGGGCTTTTTTCTTGGACCTTTTTATTCTTGGTATTATTGTAGAGCACCAGTTAAGAAGGTGGAGTTCTTTTACATTCTAAAAATGTAATTTTATTTCTCCTTTTTTTTTTTGGATCACAAGTTGGATGGCTTATAAAGGAGTTTCTACCTTCTAAAAATGGAGTGTTCACTGCAGCTATTGACCTTGCTTAGGGTGGCCTGAGACATGGTCAAGCCTTTGACCAGAGTGTTAATGATTAAATGAGTACAGTTAATGATTGGCTCATGAACCTGAACGGAACGAACTAAGCCGATGAATGAGGTTATGATCCAACCCACGATAGGCTTGAGCAAAATATTAACAACAACAGACCAGGTGTTTTTCCATAACCGGGCTCTGGGGAGAGTAATGTATATGCAGGCTTATCCCTACCTTGTGAAAGTAGAGAGACTGTTTTGAATAGACCCTCGTCTCCAGAAAAGCATATACACAACATAATCGAAAAAAAATACAATAATAAATAAACCACGGAAAAAAACAGAAACACAAAACAATAAAGAACAACAAGATAACAAGAAAATTGAAGCAACAAAATAACTGATAGTAATATCTAAGTATAAGGAAGTACGAGAGTGCTATACATACTACATGTAAGAAAATGAGAAACCTTTTAAAATTCATTCGATATAAGTTTTCTTATTGATTAATTTGGATAATATGTATAGTTTAAAATGACCCAACCTTTAATTAGGTTACTTTGAGTTTTGTCTAGATTGACAATCCAATCCGCCCAACTTTTGACGCATTAGACAAATTGCACCTATAAGAGCTAAATTTTGACACCTCTAATTCTCGTATAATAATGGTAAAATTCCGATAATTTGCTACCCTTAAGTGTTGGTTGTCACCTTCGAATCATTCAAGTAAATTGCACACTAAGAGTCGTGGAATACCTGTTTCTTTCCAATTTGTATAACATGTACTTCCACCCACCCTATGGCAATTAATTTATTGTTTTATGATATCCAAAAATATCTGACACAATAAAAATTAATCACATATAAGATTCGATGTGATATTTTCTATGCAAACTAATTATTCAACTATTCCTTTAATATTTTATTATGCTACTACTCATGTAATACACATGTTATACTAATATCTTGAAATCTTTATGCGATCAAATGGGATCACATAAAGGGGCCGATTCGAGTAACACTTTTTGACTGCCCAACATATGACCATATATTGCTCTAAAATTCTAGTCCATACAATTTTCATGTAGTTTGAAGAACTCATTTAACTTATCAAACTTAGAATCTAAGAGTAGTATTTTCTCCAATTCCCCTTCATTTCCTAGTCTCTCGATTTTTCCAAGTTCATACTTGGATCGGAGACACTTGCCATGGTTAAAAATAACTGGATAAGATTTAATTATTAAATAAAAGAAAGCCCTAACCATAGTTAAAGCATTTAATTCCTTCTTTTATTCATTCCCAAATCATAAAAGGAAGAATTTATTATGAAAAGAAAAAGAAAGGGAATGTCATGAAGGACAAGTGTTGGACTTCCAAATATCCAGAACAAAGAAGAAATGCAATGTTTCTTTCACTATTTTTCATTATGTAATCTAAAATCGTTAATCCGTGAAAATGAAATATTCCCAATATATCAATATATTCGGTTATAAATTTGAAGCTCATATAAAAATTGGTGATGAGATAACAAAACACCGTGGAGAGATGGGGAACAGACTCTACACGGGCAATTCAAATGAGTCAATACACTGATATCTTCACTTTACAGATAGGGTTTGTGTGAAGATGTCAACCTTTTGAGTGAAAATGTTAAATTGTTTTTAATGTTATCTAGCACATGGTACAGCTCAAGCACTTCATCCAAAGTATGTTTTGTCCGACAATGATAAATAATAAAAAATGAGTTTAAAGGACAGAAGTTTAGAGGATCCACCATGTTGGTGGATGAAAGAGGAAACAAGAAAGAATTAGATTCTAGAGACACATACCATAAGATACTACAGAAGATTAAAAATGAAGCAACATAGGAAAATTCTCAGCTTATAGTGATATAAAAATTACAAAGTTCATATGGCAATCATCTCCCTGCAGTTTCGAGGTCAGTCACCTCTCACTATTTGTAACTTTTAAATAAGTTGAAATTGTATACATACTCCAAGAAGTCTTCCTACCATCTGCTCCTTAATTGAAGTATACTTATGAGATGTCTTCCAACATTGTATTTTTTGACGTTCTTGCAATTCAAACTAAATAGTACAAATGATATACTAATACAAATACAAAAAACCAATACAAAGTACGGTTAGCTCAATGCCATCTTTGATCCCTAGAGTACTTTTATGACATTGCTTCTCACGTTGTATTATACACAAATTTAAGGGAATCGAACTCCACGAATAAGGTTGAAGGTAGACAAGGCTAACATTAGTTACATTTATCTCCTAGATTTTGTATACCTATACACTAAGGCTATAGAAGGTCAAAATGGGTATTATACGACATGAATTATTTCTTCCTCGGTCTACTTCACAGGAGTGCTCGCTAGTGGAGATGGGCAAATACAACAATCTGTTAGGCCAACAAAATTAGAAAGTTAACCTCCACATTGGAAGCCTTACCACGTGATGCATCTTAAAGCTGAATGACAAAACTGGCAATTCTTGGCCATGGGCGTGCTCTATAAATACTCAACGATCCGTTGAGTCTCCTCCACGTTATTTCTGCTTTTTCCAGGATTACTGGAATAGCAGTTCCCATATATGATCTCCCAGGGTAACCTGTGAAGTACAATGGCCAACTGTAACACGATTCCAATTTAATCAAGTTAGAGTAAGCATAAACATTATTTGCACTTTACATGTAGAGCAGAGATGTCTGTTAATTTGTATTTTATGTTGCTGTTTCGCTTAAAACTGCAGAGATGATCATAGAATGATCTGTTCACAGGACTATCTATTTTTTCTTTGGATCCCAACCCTCTCAGGCCAAGCAATCCAACAAAAGATTGATAAGAGAAATCATATATACCAAATATTAATATGGAAATTACAAAACCAACTTAACATATCCACACTGAAATAAATGAAATCTGTGCCTCAACAACCTCAGATACTCTTTTCTTTTTTGCTAATCTATTGTATGTATATCCAATAACCGAGGATTGGAAAGAAGTTCTATCATATTAAACAAAAGAATGTAAGAAAGTTGTGTGCTAATTGAACAGCTAAACGTTCAACCAAAAAGGAAAAAATTGAAGATCCAAAAGAGAAATCTAACATGTGCTACTAGACAAACTTTTGGAACACATAGTGAAAAGGATGAAGCTCCTTCCGTCATGAAAAATTCTGACAATCATTAAATTCATCCATATTATGCTCTAGAAAAAATCTATAAAGTGTTAGCCCAGGGGTTTCACATCTCTATATTATACTCTAGGAAAAAACCAAACTTCTTTGGAATTTTAATAAAAAATATGAATAGTGATTGCGGCTATTCTTGTTTTGCAGGATTGATTTATCAAAGGATGCTTATTGATTAATTGAGCAATTAAAGGAAGATCCAGACTTCTAAGGAAAATGAGGATCTGAATAAGGAAAGAAGTACCAAGATTAAGGAAGAGAGCTAGGAAGAATCTTTCTTCTTCAAACTTTCCTCTTATTGAAATGCTCTTTCTGGAATTTTGCTATTTGAACCCTACTTTTGTTTGCACACTTGTACATGTACTCAACCCAAAAGGATATATAATAGAAGCTTTTTTTAGGTTTAATCAAAAAGCCTTACACATGTTTAGATGAAGCCCATGAAAAAGAATTTTTACAGTAATTTGTTTCTATCCTTCATGAGTCAACTCTTTTACTTTCCACTTGGAGGGGTAAGTTATCTATCAAAATCTAGAACTGCAAAGCCATAAATCTGATTAATTGCGTGAAGACCCAAGTTCTATTGATTTTCAAGTTTTAATATGGATGCATTTCTCCCTATATCAAAATGTCTTACTGACTCTACCATTATAGAAGCATCTGAAGCTTAACTTTAATCATCCTTGAAATTATTAGTAGCCAATACCAACTCTAGTACAAAAATGTAAATTACCTGAAAAATCTTCTTACTTTTTAACTTGTGATATAGAGGTAGAAACTTTTCATGTAATGTAAGTCACTAAAGGCTTCATAAAATTTAAGAGTTTTTCCGCCCCTATGTCAGTCCTAAATTAGAGAAGAGTTGCTCACCATTTGTTTAAGCTGTTCCAGTGATCAATTTCTCTCGTTCATCCAATTTCTTAACTTTCAGAAGGCCAAAGAGGACTTGGAACCCAAAGAATGCACAGACAGCATATGCTATAATAGAAGGCATCTGAAAAATGAAGATGTGTGCAAGTTACACATCAGTATGGCAAGAGAAAAACTTAAAATATACAAGTGAAGATGCAATACTTATTAAAAAAAAAAAGATGCAATACTTACACGGATGGAATTGAGATACAACATTGTAGCTAGGTTAACCAAGCTTCCAGCTGCAACTGCCTGTTGAGATGAATATACAAACATATGAGATAAAGACCCGAGTCATTAAGAATTTAAACAATGAG